ATTTTTACGCTTATACTGTGAGGTAAAAACGGCTGCTGCTATGATTTTGTCTGGTTTATGAGCTCGTTGCTGTCCTAATTTAGGATCTTCTTTTTAATAAATTCTTGAAAATGTTAAAAAATAGAGAGAGAAAGGGGGCCCGGCGAGGATGTTTGCCCCGGGGCCGTGCTGGCTCTCGACGCTCCTGTCAGTATCTAAATAAGTCTATAAATATTCCTACCTGACTTGAGCCGTTTCTATGGATACACTCATCTTCAGTTTCGTAACCAAGATACGAACAATGTTGACAAGAAAGATTGTGTTAATCTAAATACAGAGAGAAAAAATAAAGTCTCTTTCATATTTTGCTCTATATTCCTATCCAGTGAAATATATTAAACTAAACCTTTTAAAATAGTCCAATTAAAACACAAATCTCATTTCCTGAGTCTTCTTATTGTATATACGTTAGAGGTGGCTAGAATCAGAATTTTGAAACATTTTTTTAAAACGGTGAATGAAAGTTTTTCTTTTTGAATCTCGTGCAAAGCTACACGAGGGCTATCTGCGCTAGTCGTCCCTAATTTAGAAGTGGTAGCCTAGAGGGAAGGCAGCCAGTTAACACCACCCACCGCCAACTCTTGGGCTACTCTTTTACACTGTAGTAAAGATAAAGAAGTAGAGAATATTTATGCCTCTCCTAAATATGATTCTGTCACGAAAACAACGCGGTTCCTCTCCCAAATATGTTCCTGTCACGAAAACAACGCGGTTCCTAATACGTAAGTCATTAAATAACTAGCTGAGGGTGAGATATCTATATCATTTTACCAGTTATAAGTATATCTAGTGTTTCTGTTTTTGTCCTAAGTATGTCAGTAATGACTGAAAGTAAATATGCTGTATTTATACCCCAGGTAATGAAAGAGGAAGCTGGTGAACTCCCATCGGTACCCCTAGTGGCCACCCCCATTGACTGATCTATGTTTAGGCATCATTGGAGCTATGAAATCTCTGCGTTTTAATCACTGTATACATGACTAAAGAACAGTTTGTCACTTGAGAAGTGTCAACACACTCACTGTATACATAACTAAAAAACAATTTGTCACCTGAGAAGTGTCAACCACACCTCACATCTGTACAAGACCATAAAAGACTTCGTCATCTGAGAAGCACCAGGAACACTAGAGCACCCGTAATGAGTGAAATCGTACGTTGTGAGATAAACACCTTCATAAATGCTGTATGACAGGATAACTCATCAATTAGTGACAGTGACGTCACATCCTTATAATTAATTATACTTTATTTTCTAAAGAGGACAACAGAACATCTTGTATCTTGAGCACCATGAACATCATCTAAGTAAGTTCACATTGCGCATTTTTACTCGGAAAGTGACTCAGCTTCCATCTAGAGCCTTGAGTTAACCCTTACTCGAATGCAATCAGTGACGCCATCTTGGTCACACTAACACGACAGGTTGTTAAGACTAGAATGACTTGAAGTTCTTAGAAAACTACGAAACAAGGGTTAGAAATATTCTCGAGATCTTATAATAATGAAAAAGAGTACTAGAATTTATTTTGTGTTGTCTCTATTTCAGGACAACTTTTCATCCGATCAGATTGCCGTTGCGTACATTTTATTCGTGGGTTCTATCGTTTCCCTTGTAGCTCTGATCTTAACCTTGAGCATTTTCTGTTATTTCAAGTAAGTATTTTTTTTCCTGTAATGAAAAATTACTTTTTTATTCTATTCATTTATAAATATTATCGAATACATTCTACAAACAATCAGTCACTAGGTGTCACCACTATTTTCAAGTTTTATTTTATGAAGTTTATCGAACACTTTCTATGACCCATCAATGCCACCAGGTGTCGCCACTGTTATCAACCTTCTTGTAAAATCGGAAGTAAGTAATATTCAACAGGAAAATGTGTATTTTTAGTACAGTTGTGACGTTAAGCTATATTGATAAATTCCATATGTAGCTTTTTTTATAATTTTCAAGTCATCGGGTTTATTTAATGGAGATTTATCAGATTTGTTTTTTGTTCATATTACTCCTTTTTTCCCCTAGTGTCTTGAACATTAATATAATATAAACACTACTTTATACCATGCGATTTACTTGAAAGATTTATAGAAACATCAAAGGGCTTCGGAAGCATCTTTATAATTGCTTCGTCTACTTGATTTAATATTAATCCCGATAAAATAAAGTAATCAAACAAATCTAATGTGAATTGTATAGTCAGCTCAAATACCTTTCATTGGCAACCTCCTGAAGGCCAGTCAACTCTGTAGGGAAAGACAAAGTTTACTCTTTGTAAACGAAAAAAGGCCTAACTGCTCCAGATCACGAGTCTACGTTATGATAAATCGAACTAAGAAAGTCCTTACAGATATTCTAACCCTAATACTCATAATATATACCCAAATATTGTTTTTACTTATCACGTGTGTAGTTACGTTTTTGGGGGATTTTTTTTCTGAGTTGTCTTCTCTGGTTTGTCCTTCATTTTAATTTAGAAAGCAACACGAGAATGATATAATACTGTTCTTCTCAGGTCATTACACTGTCCACGGCTGCACGTGCATCAAAACTTAGTAATAGCATTAATTATCCATTCCATTCTCCTGTTTGTAATCTCTACCCCAGGAGTATTGCAGGACCCAGCTTTGTCCTATGGAAATATCGTAAGTAATCTTTAACATTTGTTTATTTTGTCTACCTCAACTTTTTAAGAACATACACACACATACATACATACATATATATATATATTATTTTAAGCAATATATTTTTAATGTTGTAATTTGTTTGTTAGCTAAAGGGAGCTGACAGAGAGGGCTAAGGGTCCTTGGTGATAACGTTAAGTTCGGAAAGTTAAGATAGGCCTAGAACTTCTAAAAACTCAAAGGATGTAACGTAAAATGTTCTAGCATATTCGAAGGTAAATTATATCTATATATATATATATACAAGGTATTTTCAAGATAGACAGGAACCACTCAGTTTGTTGTCTGTTTCGGTTACTTTTACGTTATTTGACGTCATTTGTAATGTAGGCCTACAACAAATTTACGACAGTGTACAAGTGGTAAATTAGCTTAGTTCAGTATCACAAGACTTATACGAAACATTTTTTGGTGATTCTGCAGTAAAATAATTTTAAATACTGAACTCTACTAGAATTCAATGAGTTTATAAACGTTCTGTTAGGGTTCAGTAAGTATGAGTGGCTTTTCCTAAAGTTTACAGAGAATTCTGAGTAGGAGATCCGTTGGTGTTTGTTAGTTGAAGTGCTGCAAAGGGTTGAGTACGTGATATAAAAACGATTTTGAATTTGCAAATCAACAAATCACGCGACAATTCATCCAATACAACGTCACTATAGAACAGAATGCATAATAACTACATTTTGACAATTGTTTGGTATTAACCTAGGTATTGTAGCACCACCGACGAGAATGGTTTGTAACAGCTCTTTTTGACACAATATATACATAAACTCAACTTGTAAAGCTGTGTTCTAATAAAGGATTTGGGATTTCCAAGATGGAGATATCCGTTTTACTTAACAATAGGCAAAGGAAATAGATCAACTTGAGGAACCACCAGGAACACGCAAGAAGTTGTACCCCAGCTATTGAAAATAAAGGTTAGTAACAAAAACTATCCTTGTGCACCATGCAATAGTACACAGCATAAGCGACGCAAGTCACATGTATATCAACTGCTTCCGATGATGTATTTATTCAACCATCATATACTTCAGATAATTGGATAATGAAATGGTGGTTCATGCTATTCCACACGAAGATATACTACTCAATTCGCTTATGTGTTTCTCTGCGATCAGACTGTTGAAACGGGTGCGAGAAAATTGTTGTCCTCATGCACTAGATGGATTATGAAAAGCATGCGGAGAAGAGGGGTGCTTTATACGTGACAAATTTACAACGAAGCATTTTGTTATGGAAACTATGTTACAGTGCTATTGTCAAGATGTACGGTCATCAGATAGATCATGATGACCGGACGTGGTGACATGGATTATAACAGCATGGTGTGTCTCCAAAATCGTTTTAATATAACGTACTCAGCCTGTATAATATATACAAGACTGACAACTTGAAAAAGCCATTTCGTTGCTTTTCCATAATAATAATATAATCCTGCTAACAGTGATGATTATTTAAGAAATCCTTTAGTTTTCATTAATTGTTTTTGTTATCATCCTTGGAAATGATTTTGGAAGATATTTTTATTTTTGGTGTTCATAAACTGTTTTTGGTGATATCTACAGGACTGGCTATGTAAGAGTATCTTGTCAATAAAGATGTATGCAGCCATGGCCAGTATTAACTGGATGTTTGTGGAAGGCCTACTGCTTCATAGTCGCATTACTGTGTCCGTTTTCAACATGGACACACCGTTCAAACTTTACTATCTACTAGGATGGGGTAGGTCGACCATTATCGTTTACAGTAATATACTTTACTAAAATGGAAAGCATAATAACATTCTTTAAAAAAATATTTTAGCGGTAAACTCTTAGCATGTAATGTAATTTTAAAATGGCCGTGTAATTTCAATCCAATTATTATATGTACAACACGTTTCACTTTTTTTTGTAAGACAAGTAAATACATTTTCAAAATACAAGGCTTGCCGGAATTTAACTATGATATATTTATTTTACTTCGATGTATAAAATACTTCAACCAAAACTTTTAAAATTAGATTTTTAACTGTTTATGACATTTATATAGATATGTTTTATTTCAAGTGTTTGTGATTTAGAAGTTAGGCCTACAACTTCAGTATGAGTAATCAAATTTGGCTCATTGTGAAGAAAGGCAATTTTAAGCAGGTTAGGCTAACATTTCCAAGTTAGTGAACCAAGATTATAATCAATTATGTATATACTTGTCATAAGACATTAGTATCAGGCCTATAATATTTGTAACACTACATTCTTTATGGTGACTGGTAATTTCACCCCCAGTATTTTTACTCCCCATGTATTTCACTTCTTGTAACTTCACTACCTGTAATAATTTATTTATGTCAAATAATAATCAACAATAAAAGTAACATTTATTAACAATTATTAAAACTGATGCAAGTTATGAGCTGTTTCTCGTAAAAAGTCCATCTTGTTTTCTGGATTATATCTAGCAAGAACTTAGGTTAGGTTATGGAATACTAAAATATATTTTTGACATTAACAAATTATTACAGGAAGTGAATTTACCAGGAGTGATAATACTGGGATTCAAGTTACCGGGAGTGAATTTACCTATAACCATTTTTTTTATATAGGCCTAACAATAATAGGCCTAAAACTAATGTCTCATGACAAGTATAATTAATTATACTCATGCATTGGCAGCTTGAAAAGGCGTTCTCACCAAAACAATTGTTGTTGTAACAAATGGCTTGTATAAATTGTGTTCTGACCACTACTGTGTTTGTCCCAGCTATTACTAATGTCTTGATTTACATTCACTCTAAACTAAATTAACTGTATGACCTAATGTATAATACACAGTTTTTAAACAGTTCCTGTAAGAAAAAATATGATCAGCAAAAACCAGGGGCACATAATGAGCAATAAAAAAGCTCTATCTTTTATATTAAAATTCAATAATTTAAGATTTATAACTTAGGCTTACAAGAAATCAAACTGTGCTCATCGTGAAGTAGGCCTATTACAAACCGATTAGGCCAGTGCTTCTCAAACTGTAGTACACGTACCGACCATTACACGAAGAAAAAAATATAAGAAAAAATTAAATAATACTTATCAAGGTGAAATAAATATATTTTTGGAAAGAATACGAGTGTTCACTTCTTGTTTACCTAAACAGTGCTGCCGGCTGTTTTCATCATCTCGTGGGCGGCTGTTACTGCTAAAGTACTAGATACTCCCTGTTGGCGAGGTTACGGCAAGTCATCTTACATATGGATTATCACAGGTCCAATGTTAACGGCACTGACGGTAGGTGAATAAATTCAACTGCACAAGGAAATAATTTATCGATTAAATTCACATAACTCTAATTTTTTAATTAGTGTGTTAAATAAAACAACTTTCTTAGTTATTTTTATTACACCTATTTAAAATCAACATTATACTCTTTCATTCCAAAAGGCCTTGGGTTTGAGGCTATTAAGGTTTTCAAGTGATGTTAGCACTGATATTATCTTTACTTCACGGAGTTGTAAGTTTGAAAATTAATACCGTTCAACTTTCGGAGTTGTTAGTTGTAACATTAATATTTTTAAACACTCTCTTTCGGAGTAAAAGGGTTTAAAGGTGTGGGTGTACGTATAAAAGCTATTGTAACCCATTATCTCATCGAGTTTATAGCAGTTAACGATATTATGATTATAGGCGCGTTGCCTTAAAAATCACCCTACGTTGAGAGTATTCACGATAGGTTATTGTTGGCGCAAAGCTGAGCAATGAGCTATCTGCGCTTTGTTCACGGCAGACAATAGAACCCCAGAGAACTTACCACTAACCCACCGAGGAAAAATCACAATAGGTGACTCGGTTTCAGTTACTCATTTTGCTTGACTTCCTATTATACTTTGAAAGAAGTTTGTGTGTTTGTTTGTCCTCTAACTTTTCATTTGGACCTGTCAAATATGGTTTAATCAACTAGGTATGGCTCTGGATGTGTTAAAGAGTCGTGTTTGTGGGTGTGTTGACATTTCTCAGGTGACAAACTGTTCTGTGATCGTGTATAGTAGTGAGGTGTATTGACACTTCTCAAGTGATAAACTGTTCTTTAGTCATGTATAGCAGGGAGGTGTGTTGACACTTCTCAGGTGACAAACTGTTCTGTGATCGTGTATAGTAGTGAGGTGTATTGACACTTCTCAGGTGACAAACTGTTCTTTAGTCATGTATAGTAGTGAGGTGTGTTGACACTTCTCAGGTGATACATTGTTCTTTAGTTATGTGTACAGTGAGGTGTGTTGACACTTCTCAGGTGACAAACTGCTCTGTGATCGTGTATAGCAGGGAGGTGTGTTGACACTTCTCAGGTGACAAACTGCTCTGTGATCGTGTATAGCAGGGAGGTGTGGTTGACACTTCTCAAGTGACAAACTGTTCTTTAGTCATGTATAGTAGTGAGGTGTGGTTGACACTTCTCAGGTGACAAACTGTTCTTTAGTCATGTATAGCAGTGAGGTATGTTGACACTTCTCATGTGATAAATTGTTCTTTAGTTATGTGTACAGTGAGGTGTGTTGACATTTCTCAGGTGACAAACTGTTCTGTGATCGTGTATAGCAGGGAGGTGTGTTGACACTTCTCAGGTGACAAACTGTTCTGTGATCGTGTATAGTAGTGAGGTGTATTGACACTTCTAAGGTGACAAACTG